TGATCAAGTTTGAGAACCACTGATCTGTATGCAAGAAAGATTACCAGGAAGGACTGAGGACCAGGATCACAGTCCCCAGATGACACTCCTTTATAAAGAGAAGCTCCTTTATTCATTGCATGATGGCAGCGGATAAGCTGCTTTAGCCCAAGTGATACCATCTACAGCTGTGGAACTTTACAGTCTAATAAGCCTGCAGATATGTCAGGAGAACCATTGAACCACACCTATGTGCAGCAGGTTTCTGTCCCTTGGAGACTTGAACCAAATAAGAACTCCTGGAGGAATTTACAGGGCAGGATTCCAGCACTAGTGAACAGAGCATTCTCGTGGCTTCTCGCAGCCCAGTCTTTCTCAATGCTATCTCTTGACCAGAGCTGTCAGCTCTGGAAAGGATTTCATCTGTTCCTATGGAGAAAACAACCTAACCTGCCCAACTGCTGCTAGATCCCCTGCTGGCCAGGAGCTTGATTTTGAATGTTACCCTTCAAAGGATGCTTATGCTCCTGTTAACAACAAAAGCAAAGAGTTGTTACTTCCCCACCCCGGGCCTCATTTTCCTTGCGAAAGATTTTAATCAGAAACACAATGCAGTAAATTACATCTTCTTTCAGCAATTTGGTTTTCAGTGTTGTTTTTCAAACCAACTCTTGTGCTTGAGGTTAATGTTTTTGCCTGAGGTGTTGAATGAATATTGGAAATTTGACACTGAAGACAAAAGGCAACAAATAAGAAAAGAGGAGAATGGAACCAAGAGTTTATTGGAGGCTAGGGATAATTAGACTATGCCATGAAAATAACAAATACAGAATGAATTAGACCTTTTGCATCAGAACGGTCTAACAAGCAGCTTGTTAGTTAAATAAGGCTCTGGGTAAAGTGTATTCTGACTTGCATTTCCCAGGATGCCCTGCTCTTCAGACCAAGCTCGAAACACCTACAGGATTCAGCATTTAGTTAAAGGGAGAAGCAGTTCCTTTGGGGTTGCTGCTTCAGCATAGTGACAGGAAGTAGACAGCTTGGCAGGCTGTATTCTCCAGAGAACGGGAAAAGAGACACTTGTGAGTGGTGATCTATCCCCATACGCGTTTCTAAAGTCACGTTGGTCATGTCTGTCTGAGTTCAAGTTATCTTGCTCTAACCCAGAACAGCAGGGAGAGGTTCTTGTTTTTAAAGATTCAAGGAAGGAAAGCATCCCAGCCATGTCTGTGAATCAAAGGAGAGTGAGCCCCAAGCAAAGATAGAAAGCATACAGTACCTGCCATTGAGAGTACACGAACACACGCACACAACCAACACCCAAGACAGTCACACTGGGCGCACACATGCGCAGGGCCAGCTTTATGACCATCCAGAGAGTAGCCTCTATTAGCTCGTTTGGAAGACTCAGAAGAGTTCTGTATACTTAATGGGAAAAAGTTTCGGAAAAAGACAGGTCCTTGAAGGATTAAGACTCAGGTTGAGGGTAGTTTGATGTGGCAAAAAATTTAAGAATTCGAGATGTTTCCCCAAGATGGGCCAAGGACAGGCCAGGTATGAATACTTCCTTTAGGTGGTGATTTGGAGACTCCAGAGACTCTGGGCGAGGAAACGAGGAGGCATCACAATGGGAATGATGAAAAGCACAGAATGTAGGATTGTGGCACTACCAAAGACAGTCCTCTGCCATATTCAGCTCACTCCTTCAACAAGGACCTAAGCTAGGAAAAATATGAATTATACAGGCTACCTTGGATATGAGAAGCACAATCCGAACAGACGATGTAAAGGGGGGGAGAGACTACATTTCAGTGGCCGTGTGACTCAGGAAAAATAAAGTAGATACAAGGCTACCATAATTGAATTCAGAAGCCAGGAGTGCACAAAATAGCAGTTGAGCTAAGCAAAGTGGCACAGTACACCATACTTGCAGGAGTATATATGAAGGCTTTCTGAAGTGGAGAGTTTGCCTGGGAAGATGTTTTCCCTAGATTTCTGCAAGCAGTGCCAATCAAGATTACTGCAAATTAAAAAAGAATACTTTAATACTGTCCTGAAATTTAGACAACTTCCACTGACACAGGATGACTGATGTTGGTCAAAGATTACAGTAAGTACTAGTAATCCAGGAATGAAAGGAGCTGAGAGTTATTCTTGTGAAAAATAGATGACATGGAGTGTGTAAATAATGGGAGCAAATGCAGCAAGATACAGGGAATCTTAGAACATTTAAGGCCTAATACATTACAAAGAGAGCTCAATGCTGATAAATGTAGAATAATAAGTTTTATGGGGCTTTATCATATGCTATAAGTTGGTGTGCATCATAAAATATGAGAAACAAAAAATAGGGTAGTTGAAAGACAAGTCTGCGCATTATTTATGAATGATGAAGAGTGAAATGAATAAGAAGAAGAACAGGTAGACAATGTCTTGAATAATGATGACTTTGATGATTCGTTACCACACAAATCTGTGTGCTTCATAAAATATGAGGAATATTAAAGAGCAGAAGAGTCAAAAGACAAGTCTACTCAGAATGAGATACAGAATGAAGGAAGAGAGGAATACAAGAGAAATGCACAGAATAATGATGACTTTTATGAGACTTTCACTCACCAGCCTGGATCCTTCATAAATATAAACTGTATAGAAAATAAAAGAGCAGCAAAGAGAAGAGACAGGTCTGTGTCTGTCATAAAATATGAGCAAATAATGCCAACTAGGCTTGACAAAATAAAAACAAAAATAATTGAGCCTAGTATAGCTGTGGGAAGATACAATGTCTAGAGTAGTATGAACAAATAAAATGAGTTAAGTGTGGAATTGTCTTGCCAAAAGGGAATCAGTGACCACCTAGCTAGGCTTTATTGTTGCAAAGGCCACCTTGTTAACTGGTAGAGCCTTGGTAAGTTTGTGGAGTTACCCCATGCCCCCACAAAAAGCAGTCAGCTCTTAGGGCCCAGGAAGCCATGTTTAACTGATTTTCCTGTGCCTCTTCTCAGCCCTTCTAGCTCCAATTACTAAATAGTTTGCAGGAGATTTTCTCAGCTTGCTTCTACTTCATCTATACCTTGCTTGTCAAATTTTGTTTTATAAAGACCTTCAAAAGGTTATGTATAAAACTAGAGACATCCTTTCATTTTCATTTCTTGTTACATTGGACTTAGAACCTGGGACCAGATCTGTCAGGATTAGTTCAAAATCGAGAACTCATTGACTTTCAAATAAATGTCTTCTCTATTAGAACAAATGGGATTTCAAAATCTCAAACTTTCAAAATCTCCCCAAAAGAGACTGGGAGAATCAGACAAGGTAAAGCAAGTGCCAATATGCCAATTTGCATACCATTTGGAACCATAATTTACAGAACTCATAAAATGTACAGCTCATTGGAAAGAAGAAAGCCACTGATCTATGTCAAAATTAGGGATGTTGGTCTGAGAGCTCAATACAACAATACCAATAGTTATACTAGCTTACTTTTGGATAGTACTTAATGGCTTGTAGTTTGTTTTGGGGGAAAGCCTTAGGTAATGCACGATAAATCCTATTAGCAAAACTTACATCCAATTCCTCTGTGTGTGATAGAACTTAGTGGAGAGTTTATTGGCTATAACATATAAAACAAACTTTGGCTGGTACCTGTCTTTTGATTTTTTTCAATTTTTTTTCTCTCTCTCTCAAATGATCTTTGTAGCCATGAGCCTTTAGATACGTTGCCTCAACTTGCTAATTCTGTTTGAAGAAGTTATCATGCTAGGGTGGAATTATCATGGTTACTTTGGAAAGTCATGTTTTCCCCAATAACATGGCCCTCTTTAATCCAAGATTAAGATTCCCTGGATCTACTGAATCCCACTTGGTGAAAAAATGACATTAACTCGCTAGGAAAAAAAAAATCACTGAACTTGCTCAACCTTCCTCAACACTACCAGCTCCAGGTATAAAATAAACATTCTTGAGCTCAGGGCTGCCAAAACTAGGATTGGACTCCCCCCTCCCCAAGTGGTTAAAAAACTCACCCCCAACCCCTGCTGCCCCCAATAATGGCAGACCAGTGAAAAATCTTTGACCAGAATTTGCTTCTGGGCCCTCTTCTTAACTGTCAAGCTCCTGAAATTTGTTACAACTTGGTTAGGCTAGAGCTGAAAGTATACACATTTTAGTGGACTATGTCTGGGAGACAGCCCTGTTTAGGGGCTAGTTTAATAGAATCCCATTTTTTGGCAAGGGTGAAACTCCTTTGTTTAAAGGGAAAATCACCTGAAATATTTTATTTCAATTAGGCAAGAGAAACAGAATACTATAGCCAAGGACCATGTCTCTTGCAGATTAACTCTTAAAATTTATCAAATAAGTCTGCTTTTTTAAAAAAATTGTTTTTCCAGAAAAGGCAATTTGGCAATATGTATTAAGAGCCTTAAAAATGTTCACACCTATGTATGTAAATGCATAGAAAATGCACACAACAAAGTGATGTTGCTGATTACCTCTGAGGAGAAGACCCAACAACTGGGAGAGGGAGGTGGTGAGCAGAGACTTTAGTCATATGTACTATATATTTATGTATTAATTAATGTAATGAATTTTAATTTTAATAAGAGAAAAATATTCTTCCACAACTAGGACTATCTCCCAAGGAAATAATAAGATATTCAATGCTGGAAAAGTTAAGAAACTATGAAATGTCTTAAAATAAGGAATGGATTAAAATTAAGGAATGCTGTTTGAAGGTTATATTGTATAATCACAAAGGAATTTCTGATTACATTGGACAATGTTAATTATATACTGTTAAAAATATGAGGATGCAGATCTGCACTGAGTATAATCCCAATTTTGATGGGTAAAAAAGATATACATGCCATCCTCAAAATGTTATTAGTAGTTACTACTGGGTTGGTGAAATTATTGTTTTCTTTGTTATACTTGACTGTATTTTCCAAAGTGTCTCCATCTTGGCTTCTGGAATCCAGTTTCAACATGCTTTTATATTTGCCTTTGATCTTGTGTTGCAGGCGTGCTTGTGTGATTCGAGGCCAAGTGGTGGCCGTAGATGGAACCCCTTTAGTAGGGGTGAATGTTAGTTTCTTGCACCACAGTGATTATGGGTTTACCATCAGCCGGCAAGATGGAAGGTACGTCAGTATTGCTTCTAATCGTTGTGGGGGCCAAATACTGACTTCTAGCTATGAGTCAAACCAGGGCTTAGATGATACAGTCTTTGTAAGCCCATCTTCCTTCTAGCTGTATTTTGAAAAGTCATTGGTGATATTTATTTCCTCTGTTCCCCAACTAAATCAAACCAAATTTCTCTTCTAACCATGCACTATTACTCAAGTCTTCTCGAGGCCCTGGCCATGTGGAAAGTTTCCTAGCCTTCATCCAATTCCATTTATCAATCTGGCTTCAAAATTCAGTGTGATGATGCAGGTCAAAAAGAGGGAGCCATGGAGCACTTAGGCTGTTCTTCCATGGCAGCCTCAAAATATTTCAGAAATGAAGATGTCCAAAAGGTTTCTTCCAAAAGCACAGAATTCAGCCTCATTAAGAGATTTATTTTTAATGTGTCCTCCCTAGACGGCCTATTTTACTAATGGCTGCAACTGATTGACAAGCATGGTCAGCCTAACCAATTCCCTTCAGTGTCTATATAACTGTAGTGATTTAACCTCAACACCAACCACCAGGCTACTCTCTAAGGGCTTCTCAGGTTCTCTGAGACCCGAGAAGCAAGACCACTAAGTAAAATCTTTTCATCCCAGAAAAGGATTTGCTCACAAAAACATTTCTGTTTCTCATTTAGGTAGACATTTTGTCTATCATTTAGATAGACTTTTGTTCAGAGTATTTGAGTCAATAGGCCCATGTGTCCAGCTTAAGGGTATACCTATTTATGACTCTCAGGAGCATTGTAATAATGGCCTTGAGGTGCCCTAGTCTCCAGATGGCTACCCTTAAAATGAACTACTCATGACAAGCTGCTTCAGGAGTCACATAAAGAGATGTTGGCTTGGAACTTTATCACAGTGTGAGAGACCATCTTATTTCAAGAACCTACAATCAAACCTTATTAATCCTAACCTCTTCAGAATTGTTAATTGTTCAACCTGGGCTATGCTGAATTTATTTTTTTCAACTGCCCGTCAAGAAAATGCTTATAAAAATTAGTTAAAGAAGCTAATAAGGAAAAGTTTTAACATACTTAAGAAAAACAAACCATTTCTAAGACTTCGGTAAATCCTATGAATGATTTGTATGTAAATTATATTGCTAATTCTTAACTAGCCATCTATTTATTAGAACAAACTCAGCAAAATTAGTCTGGGTACAGATAGTCTGAATACACACACACACACACACACACACACACACACACATCCATTGCATATATATGTATATATGCAATAAAAAGTACATTTCCTTTCAAATAGTCCATAATCGGAGCTCTCTACTAATTCAAAAGGACCTTTCTCCCAATTAGATTGAATGATAAAATTTTGGTAGTTCCCTCACCAGTAACTGGTACACAGAAGTGGCCTCTCCCTTGCCAGCATGTTCAACCATGTGCCAGAAATTGAGAAATGGATTATTTCTTTAAACTGAATATGCCCTCAGAGACATCTGACCTCTCTTGGAGAACTCATGGGCCTTTAGGGATTTTTTAGCATGTGTAGAAAGGTTTCAGTGAATTATTTGATATTTACAAAGGAGCTTAAAAGAAACAAGGCCTAAAAAATCTAAAAATTTCAATTTCCAGTTTACCGAAAACATTAAAGAGGAACAATTTTTGTCGTCATTTTTGTGTTTTTTGTTTTAAGTAAAATGCCAAGACCCTCGTCTGCTGAGCTCTCTGTGAGAACTAGGTTTATGTAGATGACAAATAAAGCCAGAATCCCCTCTGGCAATAACTCTCCCCTCATGCTCCACAAAGGGTGTAAGCATTCAAAATCTGTGCCCCAAACGCCAAGCATACTGTCCCAGTCATGTCCTGGACATAAAGTGACAGTGTGATGGGAGTTTCCATTTATATGTCTGCTTCTTGCTCCCTCAGACTAAGTACATTTCAAAAGCAGAGTATCATAAGGAAACTATACCTGAGAGCAAAAGCATTCTAGAAAGGCTGAGATTAGCATTTAAATACCCAGTAGACAGAGTGTGATAGGTAAGATGCTGTAAGGGGCCCTCTGTCTCCAAATCTCAGTCCAACCTGTCTGCCCCCCTTGCCTGTAGTTCCCACCAATGGCATCACTGCTTTGGGTTAAGCTGTTGACTCTAAAAGTCCCAGTTAAATGCAAATATGTTGTGTGGGATGTAGAACTAATTACCCCCATTATCATCCATTTGCACAAGTTAATTGACAACTTTCCCTAGAGAACCAAGAAAAGTCTAGGTCATGGGACCAAAGTGATGTATGAAAAGCAGGAGGAAGGATGGCAGTGGAAGAATGAGCCCTCTAAAAGTAAGAAGACATGAGACATGCAGATTGGGAGAGGCCAAAGTAGCAGAATAGAGGAAAAATGCAATTCTAAAGGAAAATGAATATGTATGAGTATCCACTGTTTGCCAGGCATTTTCATAAGTGTTGATCTGTGTCATCCTCACAACAGCTTTATGAGATAGGAAGCATTGTTATCATCTTCCCCATTTGGCAGATGAGAAAACGTATCCAAATTAACACAGCTAATAAGGGTCGAGCCCAGAATTTGAACCCAAGTAATCTGGCTCATATCTTCTATGATTAGCCACCTTCAACTTAGATTATATAACAGGTGCTCAGGAAAGTTTTGAAAGAGAACTTTTTATATTATAGTTCAGCTAGTGATAAGCACAACAGGTGAAGTGCTGACCTTCTTAGAAGATTCTTGAGAAGCATTAAAGGTCTCAGGAACTTTGTTTGGAAGACTTTAGAAAATGAAACAGGGAATTCCCTCTGATTCCCCTCAAATCAAGAGTTTGTGGATTTATGGATACCGTAAGGCAGAAATAAGCATTTTGCATTGGCCTCAGTAGTCTTCCATCTATGGTTAGGACTGGTCTGACTTATTATGGATTGACAAGTCTCCAGACAAATAGGTCCTCTCCCTTGGGTCTTTTGTACTCACTATCATATGACTTGATAAACTGTTCTTAATGACCCATGCCAATGGAGATCATTTGTGGTGGGGAAAATCCCAAAGAATTAATGATCCATGGAACGTGCAATTTGGCATTGGAATGATTAGATGGAATTTTGACCACAGAGCCACCTTCCACCTCTGTGGCAATTAATGAGTCAGTCTGACTGTGTTTACTGTATATACCAGCTAGATGGGAAGAGGAAAAAATCAGGTTTCTCCAGAGAAACAGAACCTGTGTGTGTATATGTTGTGTACATGCATACGTATAAATGTATACATGAGAGAGAGAAAGAGAGATTTCAAGAACTGGCTTATGTGATTGTGGGGTTGGCAAGTTCAAACCTGTAGAGACTGGTAAACTGCAATCTCTTGGGAAGGAGTTGATGCTACCTCTGCAGTCTTGAAACAGAATTCCTTCTTCCTCAGAGAAACTTCAGTTTTGCTCTTAAGGTCTTTCAACTAATTGCATGAGGCCCTCCCACATTATCAAGGGTAATCTCCTTTACTTAAGGTCAACTAAGTGTAGATATTAACCACATCCACAGAATGCCTCCACAGCAACACCTGGATTAGTGTCTGAATAACTGGGTACTATAGCCCCGCCACATTGACAGATAAAAGTAAACCATCACAGGAAACCTAGGGGAAGTTCCCAGAAGAATTTAAAAATCAGTATCTGCTTATGGAGATAATCAAAAGCTGGCCTACAGTTCATTTGGACTACAAGAGGATACATCTGTAAATGTAATAAAGCCAAGGATCAGATTTGAGAAGAAAGTTAACATTTGTTGAGTCCTTGACCCTTAAGTCTCTCTCTTATTTACTCATTAGCAGTAGCAGCTGAGTGATAGATCATATTAGCCCCATTTTACTAATGAGAAAGCAGAAATTCATGGAGGTTAAATAACTAGCCCAAAGACACAAAGCTAACATGGCAGAGCTGGGATTCGAACCCAGGTGTGTATGAAGCCAAAACCCCATTCTTTCTACAAAACAAGATGCCTGCCCTGTCTGCTTAATCTTTCTAGAAGTAGAGAATAATTCCCAGGTACGTGTTTTTGTTTGGATAGTTTGTGTGTGTATGCATTTGTTTTTGTTTTCAAATAAATAAGCACTTCAGTTTTAAAGAGGCAAGAGCCAAGGTTTGGGCAAAGCAAACTTGCCCAAGGACATGGAGGTAAATCAACATAGAATGTGAACTAGAGGAAAGGTCTCTTGACAAGTAGTGTAGGATTTTCCCCACCACACTTGCCTTAAACTGCTTCTGTATTATAATGAATTCAGCCTGCCTTAAATCATAAGCCATTTGGGTTTTTTTTTTTAATTTCAAACCTAGATTATTTTCTATAACTATTGTAGTTCTTCAAACTCTCTTTTTGGAAACTGCCTTATCATTACAGCCACTTGACTGAAAAAGTAACAATAAAAACACAGTATTAGCCATCCTTTGTTACTGCCCATTTATCTTTATCTGGAAGATTTCTGCAACAAGACATGATAGGCAATATTATAACAAATATAATAAATGTCATATGAAGGGAGTGGTGAGATATCCATAATTAAGTCTGATTCCCTATTAGGGCATTCTATCATTAAAAAAGTGTTTTACAAACATCTCTTTTAATGCAGGGAATTGCTTGCATCTCTCTCCTGTGGATTTAAGTTGCTCTGAATATTAAGGAGCATCATATTGCCCTTTACCCATTTTTATGATATAATAGTAATAATTTATCATTACCTTACTTTTACATAGTATGTTATGCTTTTTGAATGCTTTCAAGTACATTATCTCAAAGACATCATTATGCTTACAAGAGAAGTAAGGTAGAATCATCTAGTGCAGAATGAACTGAAATCTGAGTCTGTTATGCTCCAATGCAAGAGTAATGTCAGATACCACATCAAGTGATGGACAGAATTGGCTTACAGGAGAGGTAGTCTTGCTTTGTCAGATATGGAAGGTGTTGTCAGCGGAGATGGATAGGGTCCATTACAGGCTGTCTTACAAAAGGAAACCAAGAGGCATTCTAGACAGAACCAGAAATCCTAAATGTAGACTTCAAGTAGAATCAGGAGCCAAAGTGGGCAGGCAGATGTGGAGGGTTCAGGCATGGTATTGTTCAAGCAAATTTCACTGAACAGCTTTCCTCTGCTGCTATCTTTCTCCAAATGCCATCTCAAAGACACCACCAGATTTCTGACACTATGTTTGTGACTCCGAACAAGATAGTTAACCTTTTGGCTCTTTACTTTTCTTGAGTTACATTATAGTAATTTTTTTGAGGATGAATAATGTATTATATTAAAGACACTGCTGAATGTTATGTGATAAGATATGGCTTTGCAGAAATACATGCAGTGATTTTGTTTAAGATAGTATTAAAATTGGTTTACAAATTCGGGGTGAATATCAACTGGTGATGGGGAGTTTTTTCTCAAAAGTCTACTGGCTAGTGAAAAGAAATCATCCATATATTTAGCTAGAGGGAATTTATAAAACAGAAATACGAATGGATGGAGTTGAGTCCCAAAGGAAGGAAAGTGCACTAAAATTACCTATTTTTTTTAACTTGAACTTTATTTTGGTTGTTCATTTGGTAGAAACTATCATATTTTTCCTTCTCAGCTTTGACCTCGTAGCCATTGGCGGTATTTCCGTCATCTTAATTTTTGACCGATCACCTTTCCTGTCTGAGAAGAGGACACTCTGGTTACCTTGGAATCAGTTCATTGTGGTAGAGAAAGTAACCATGCAGAGAGTTGTATCAGACCCACCATCCTGCGACATCTCCAACTTTATCAGCCCAAACCCTATTGTGCTTCCTTCACCACTCACATCATTTGGAGGTTCCTGTCCAGAGAGGGGAACTATTGTTCCTGAGCTGCAGGTGGGTACATTGGCCTTTGGATGTATAAAATCATAGTATCATGGAGTGGTCCATGGCGTATAATGGCTGGATTCCTTTTCTTGGTATTTCTGCCAGCCCCATAATGGGCTGCCCTTCATTTATCAAGAGAAGCCTTCAAATGTAATCTCTCTGGCACACATTTGCAAAGTGATTGGCCAGGGCTATAGGGTGCTATCTATGGCCATAGAACAAAGCAAGATGAACTAGCTGTCATGAGAATTAAGCCCCAAACCTTGACCTAATGAACATTGTGCTCTAAAGAACAAAGCTAGCTAGCTAGCTCAATAGTGGTAACAGTATAATCAATGAGGTGGGACCGTCTGTGGTTCTGAAATTAAAGCTCCTTAAGAAATCTAGTTTCCTTCCATTGTCTAGTTTGTATCCATTGTCATTGTTCTTAGACGTCATGACAACGCCTCTTGTCTAGCTGTGTTTGGCAAAGGTAGTTTTCAAGCGTATGGGTTTTGTTTAAAGCTTTGCTTTTGAGTGTTCAAGCTTTATATGTCAGAGCGAGACACATTTTTGAACCTTGGTATTTTATAGTTCCTGAGAATTTTTCTTTATTGAGCCTTCAATATTTTCATTTCAATATTAAGCCATTCAAACATCTATAGTATAATTTCCTCATCACATTATAGAAACATTTTAATGATAGTTAAATGCAGAAGCTACCAAAATGGACACAAGTCGCACAGATTCAGAATTCAAGAAGTATACTCGAGAGGAAGTAAATGGACATTCCGAGACTGAATTGGTTTTTCTTCCATCACAACATTCCCAGTAGCTGTTAGGAATGCCCAGAGGATACCACCTGTGAAAGACTCACAAAAAAATAGTGCCCTGCTGGAAAAGGAGTCCAAGTTGCCCCTCCTCTCTTTTCCATTGGTTTTCCTTAGAAAGGAAGAAAAAACAAAACCATATCTACTGAGTGCATTGAACTGATACACCAGTCTCTGTATACTTGTCATTAGGAAGTATGGGTTTATTTTAGCACCGAAGTTTTCAAACTGCTCTAGCAGTGCATTTTTCCATAGGGAAATAAAATACTAAGGTGGTAAGTGTCCCGCTGGCCTTCACTAATGTACTTCTGCCACCACCTAAGGAGACAAAGCCATTGGACAGCTCGGGTATCAACTAGCTAATGTAGAGGAAGGAAAATCAGGCAAAGAATAGACAAAAGCAGTTTGTGTCCCCAAAAAAAGAATGACCAGAAATCCTGGATAATATGAGATACCATGTATCTAACAACCTGTCCTACTACGTGCACTTGTTTGGAAAAGGGACAAGGGACAAGGTACTGAGCTAAAAATGAGTGAGGGCACAAAAATATCCACACTATTCATGTCACCTTAAAAGTACTGAATAGGCTCTTTCTTCGGCTGAGTTTTGAAAATTGAAAGTCATGGAACACAAGATTCAGTTTTAGTGACCACTTTTGGTGGTTTAACTCCATCTTTGCAAATAAATAAGTAATAGCAATTAATTAAGGAAGCCAAGTGGTAGTAGTTTCATTCTGGGACCAGCGTTTAGTATAAAATGTGCACAGGAGTTAATGGGAGTTATTTGCTTCTCAGTCTACAGGTGTCAACTTGGAAAAACTTATTCCCAGCTATTGGTATATTGAAACACAGAGAAATATGTAAGCAAAATTTGATTAAAAAATTGACCCTCGAGGTCATTCCCAAGGTCCAAAGAAGACAAGTTTGATTGCATCAGTAAAGATTAATTCTAGAGAAACCATAATCTCTGTCATAAAATATCACTTTGCTGAGCCTGTTTCTGGAGTCCTTCCTCCTAGAGAGCCTGGCCTGAATAAGGATTACAGCAGTGGTTTTGTGATATATGACAACACACCAAACAAGATTTTGTGTATGTATATATAAGAAAAAGACCCCTCAGTGGAGCCCAGAGCACTGAAAGGCCTGACATCCAACAGTGTGATCTTTTCCAACTCCTACCAAGCAATTTTTGGAACACTGTTGAAAAACGAAAACTGTTCTTTTCACAGTCTTTCCTGGCAGGGAAAAGAGGAGCTCAGTCCTCAAGGTTGGTTGGATGTCTTGTCCCCATGCGGATTGAGTGCAAAATTCAAAACCTATGGCCACACAGCCTCACCAAGATTCTTGCCTGGGCGTCCACAGGATCCCTTTAACCTCTCTCCTTTGGTGTGTCTCTAAGACAAGAAAGCATGCAGTGTCCTCCTCTACCCATGACCACCAATAGAGCCCATCTGGCTTTTTGTCTTTCAGGTTGTACAGGAAGAGATCCCCATTCCTTCCAGCTTTGTGAGGCTGAGTTACCTGAGCAGCCGCACCTCTGGGTATAAAACCCTCCTCCGGATCCTTCTGACACATTCGACCATTCCTATGGGAATGATAAAAGTACACCTCATGGTAGCTGTGGAAGGGCGACTCACGCAGAAGTGGTTTCCTGCTGCAATTAATCTCATCTACACATTTGCTTGGAACAAGACTGACATCTATGGTCAGAAGGTTTGGGGCCTGGCAGAGGCTTTGGGTATGTTGAACTAATTCTATGTAAATAGCAGCATTATATTCACCAAACAGAAAATACTAGTTGCATACTAATTTGTATGTGGAATAATTATGTACCAAAACATTATGGTTTTCTTTTATTTAAAGGATCTAAGGCATTTTTTCGTTCAAACCACTCTCTTTGGTCCTATTCAGAGTTCCCTTTTGACAGATTTTTGCTTCAAAACTAGTTTAGTTCTCCTCTCAAGACGGCTGCGTACTAGTGTCGTCCCATACTATCTGACTTGTAACTGTCGCCAGAACTGAATATTGCCTTCTAACTGTGACCTTTGGTGTGTCGTTCTTTAGGCCATGTTTTTGGGTTTGACATTTAGACTGTCATTTCCACTTAGAAACTACAAAATTTTAACTTACAGGCATCTCCACTTATTATCTCTTCTGTCTAAGATAGTTAGACTCCATTAACTTGTTACTTCAGTAGGTTAAATGCAAAAAAAAAAAAAAAAAAAAATCATTGCACCTTCCTAGTCTTTGATTTTCTGTTATTTCAAGACTCTAAAACCTAGAATCTTAGAGATAGTAGGGACCTTTGGAGGTCCTTTGGGCCTATGGTTCTCAGATATTTAATTCGGTCAGACAAATGACATTTAAAAAAATTAGACTGAAACAGATTTGCCAGCTTTTTATTTTGCCAAGCAAGAATGTCTTAAAAAGAAAGGAAAAAAAAAACCTGCTACCATCTACTACTCACCTACCACTACCGTAATTTCATCAAGGAGAGGGATATCTAACATCAGAAAAGGGAGTATTCTGTCTTTAAAAAATGACAGTAAGCAATCTAATACTGATGCTCAGAGAGAGACAGACAGACAGACAGACAGCAATGTCTTTTTTTCCCTCTCACCCTGTAGAAGACAGTGAAAACTTCCTAACGGACCTGACCCAGGTGTGTGGAGTCAGTCCATTCCATAGAAAGGAATGAAACACTGATACATGCTTTGACATTTTCTTCTTGGGGTGCCTGGGTGGCTCAGTCATTAAGCATCTCCCTTCAGCTCAGGTCATGATCCCAGGGTCCTGGGATCGAGCCCCACATCAGGCTCTCTGCTCGGCGGGAAGCCTGCTTCTCCCTCTCCCACTCCCCCTGCTTGTGTTCCCTCCCTGGCTGTCTCTCTCTCTGTCAAATAAATAAATAAAATCTCTAAAAAACATAAAAAAATAAAATTTTCTTCTTTGTTGTAGTTAAGCACTCTTAATGACTTAGCCTCTAATATGCCCATGGATTATTGAAAAAACAACTAAAACATAAAGAAAAGCAAAGACTTTCTAGTATACACACCAGTGGTGAAGCCTCCATTCCTACTGTTTGCCAATGGGTATTGGTTTACTTTCTATTTTTACAATCATATTCCTGATCAAAACTTCCTGAAGCATTCTAACTATAAAATGGCCTTAATTAAAGTGCTAAAATATATGTTGTTAGTTCATTTTTAAGGCTGATTAACAGTAACAAAAACAAAAGAAAATTGATCTACCCAGAAATATCCAAAGAGAGAGGGAAAAAAGTATTACTCGTGGTATTTTATGTGCACTTAAAGGACATAATATTTTTTTAGGGTAGAGAAAGAACACTGGCAAAGATCTCAAACAAAATAGCCAAAATAATTTCAAGCATAGTGCCTAAAATGGAATATGGATTATTTACCTTATAGGAAATGTCCTTGATAATCTTGGTTAAAGGGATTTTTTATTTACTACCTAGTCTCCATTTCCATATACATGGAGACTAAGAGAATTTCTTGACAGTGGTAAAACTTTAGAGCAGGTGTTAGAATGAAGTTGGAGAATCTAATTCCCTGCAGATGGATTGTGAGCACCTTATGAACACAACAGACAATAAATAGTGGAGACAAAGGGATCAAGGATGTGGCCACTGAGCTCATACCTTAATAGGGGATGACTGAATCTAAACAAACAAGGAAGAAAAGATTTAGTTGTACTCCTGCCCATATTTTATAATTGCTTAACTAATGTGAGAAGAAACAGACTACATTTTGCCCCAGATATTAACAATGGTGTTATATATATCACTTCTCAGGTTTGCCTCAGATTCAGAGGTCCTAGTATAGTCTTGTGGCAGGCCGAATAATGACCACCACTCCCCAAAAATGTTCATCCCTGGGATCGGTGAATGTATTCTTTTACATGGCAAAAGAGAATTAAGGTTACAAATGGAATTAAGGTTGCTGATCACCTGACCTTGAGATGGGACAATTATTCTGGATTATCCAGGTGGGCCTGATGTCATCACAAGTGTCCTTAAAAGTGGAAGATGGAGTCAGAAGGGGAGGTCAGAGTTAGAGGAAGGTATAACTGTAGAAAAAAGGCACATCAGGGTCAAATATTGCTGGCCTTGAAGATGGGGGAAGGGAGCCAAGAAACAAGGATATTGGTGGCCTCTAGAAGCTGGAAAAGGCAAGGAAATGGATTCTCCGTTAGAACCTCTGGAAGGAATGCAGCCTGCTGACACCTTGATTTTAGCTCAGTGAGACCCATTTCAGACTTCTTACCTCCTTAACTGTAAGATGATAAATCTGTCTCATTCGAAGCCTTTGTGTTTGTGGTAATTTGTTACAACAGTAATAGGAAACAAACCTTGACCAATATTCCTACAGTCCCAGTTATAGCAAGGATTTGGGTTCAAATTCTGGCTGGAAAGTTCTCCCACTCTTATTTCCTTTTCAGGCCAGTTAAATATGAACCTCTGTCCCACCCATTTCTGGGTGATGGAGAAAGAGGAGATCAGCTTTAAACATGCTGAATTTGAAGTAATGGTGAATATCTAAATTGAAATGCCCACTTAGTTTGAAATGTTGGACTCTTGTTTCCCACATAGCTCAGCTGTGGGGAATTGGTGGCATCCCTAAGGGCTAGGGTGTCTCAAAAGAAGAATGGAGGGTTGAGGGACAGCCACAGTGAGAAAGGAGTGCTTGAGATCCTAGAGTATCCCACCATTTTTTTTTTTTTTTGCAATGCAACAGATTTCACAAGTGGAAGAACAATACCAGAGTGAATAAATTATCAACAGAGATAGTGTGAACTACTTCCTTGGCAAAGTATCAATGGCAACTGATAAGACTGATTAATCCAAGTACACTATTGATCAAGTAGAAGAAGAGTAAAATCACTCCCAGGGTTGCAGTACAAAACCCAGAATCACTAGTTCATCCGGCTTAAAGATTTTGTTGTCTGATACACAGACGAGACTCCCCTGCTAAAAAAACTCCATCTGTGCATTTGAAATAATTTGGCCCTAGCACTTGATTCTCTAATTCTAAATAAGGTATGATGTCTGGAAATCGTTGTATATTATTTAGTTTCTTTCCCAACTCTGCCACTTGCAAAACAATGTAAAAAAAATCATTATTGTTAAGTTCACAGTGCTGTTAAAATTCTAGAGACGGCTTATTTAATTTGACAAACTGGCTTGTTCAGGGGCTCTGATCTGCATCCATTATATGAATTTTGTCGAAATAATTCCCTATGTCCGCCTGGGTCTGCATACATTATCAATATGTAATAATGCATTCTGCCCGGTCTTCATTTTAATTAAATTAAATCACAGCGGTTTGGAGTCCTAGAAGTTCAGGAAATCAGCCATCGCCTTTAGTAGCACTGCTATAAACAATTCTATTTTTTTCAAGGTTATTGGCAACAACAATTGCATAATTATTTAGTACAGTAGTTTGGCAAGAAAGAGTGGTGTTGCAGAGAGAACTAGACTTCCTAAAGGTTCACGGTGCATAAGAGTCTGTCTAAATTGTATTAGAGAGAAACAAGGGAACATTAATAGTAATAGGTGCTAAGCTACGGTTGCTTTGTGCACACAAAACATCCTTGAGAATGATGCTTTAGTGTTCATAAATTTCCCTTCAGTAAAACCTGTGCAGGCTGGGCAACCACAAAAATCACAGCCACTGAATATTTTAATAATAAATGGGTAGTGCTTTACAATTTGCAAAGTACTCTCACGTACATTATCTCATTTTAATCCTTGTAACATTCCTGCCTGGTAGGCATAGGGCGGTGTACATGATCTTCGTTCTGCGGAGGGGGAAACTGAGGTTCAGAGAGCATGTGACTTGCCTAAAGCCCTCTACAGAATGGGGATTCAAACTCGGATCTCTGGGTCCTGAGTTCTGCATGCCTTTCCCTGCTGCCTCTCTTCACTAAATTGACCAACCCACCTTACTGAGCACCCAATTCAACGCCCCAGTGGCTTTCTGTCAAAGAAGCTAGCAGAGATAATAATCTTTCATCATTTCTCTCCACTCATGAATTTATAATCGTTAACTGAGAGCGGGGCTATTTTATCCATTCAGCTTTATAGGCATAACACCAAGGATACGAGTTTTTCAAGGACCTGTGAGAATGTTTGCAACCTGAAAAATAAGTATATTGGCACCGAAATATGAAAAGAAAACCAGAAAATCAACATTGATAAATGTTTAAATAAATATCTACAAAATGAAGCATTATGTCAGCTTATCAAGTGCTTCTCAATTTTCACACTTGCATATGAAATATGTTTAATGCAGGGTATGGGTTGTGGGTTGTATCCATTTTAATATGTTTGACAAGATGTGAGATAGGACCTCCAGAAGTAAGTGCCTGGAGCTTACCAGGATTTTTAAATGACCCTGATATCCTGGTAAGCAATGGTCCATGCCCATTTCAAACTGCTGGTCACACCCATTAGTAGATTATGAAATCTGTTTGGTGAGTCGACCAGTATTTTTTTAATGGAATAAAATGGAATGGAATGGAATGACATAGAACAAAAGTGAACAGAATAGAAAATATCAGAAGGTAAAGCTATTAGGAGAGCATTGTTTTGGAAAACTTGGCTTCAATTACACGTGTGTGTGTGTGTGTGTGTGTGTGTGTGTATGTGTGTCTCTCCCTATGTGTATGCTGGGTCACAAATGACTTTCAGGCATAAAAATTTGAAAGCCATTGGTA